CTTGGCATAGGAAATTCTATCAAAGATTTCCGAAATCTCCTGGGGATTGAACACCTCGTGCGAGATCTTGTGGGATGTGGAAAGAGCATCCAGTTGGAACACTGCTTGCAGCTCATTAACCACAAACTGGTCCAGCTGCTTCCACTCGGGCGCAACTGCATCGGCCGTCAGGTACTCCATGTAGCTAGCGAATCCCTCGTTCAGCCAGATATCCGACCACCAGCTCGGTGTAACCAGGTTTCCGAACCACTGGTGGGCCAACTCGTGACCCACAACCGATGCCACCCGCTGCTTGTTATTAGCCGTGGCAACACCTGGGTCATAAAGCATTGCCGTCTCCCTGAAGGTAATTAGACCCCAGTTCTCCATAGCGCCCGCTTGAAACTCTGGCAGAGCAATCATGTCGATCTTCGGCAGGGGGAACGTCACGTTGAAGAAATCCTGCAGGAATGTCAGAATCCTGGGACCAACAGACAGTGCATACTCGGCTGATTTGATGGCATCCGCTCGAGCCCAGACGGAAAAGTTACCGGAGGAGATGTGCGTGAAGTCGGATATGGCAAAGGCCACCAGATAGGTTGACATGGGCAGCGATTCGGCAAAATGGTCCCAGACATAGCTGGGCATGGTGGCGCTAAGGGGTTCAAAGATTGCGCTTAAATACAGTGAATAATCACTATCAAAAGCAACACTCACTGATCATTGGTGGACACAATGGGCATATTGGATATGGTGGTCATGTTCCGTGGACGAGCGATGTGCAGTGTAAAGTTGGCCTTCAGGGCAGGCTCATCAAAGCAGGGAAAAGCTCGTCGCGCGTCCGTGGCCTGGAACTGGGTAGAAGCCACCCACCTTGTCTCGTTATGCACCTCGTAGGAGCTGCGGTAAAAGCCCTGCAGATAGTCCTCGATAATGCCATCAAAGCGTAGATGCACCACGTACTCCACATCTTTCAGCAGCTTGTCGTACAGCTCGATCACGAAGAACTGCTTGGCCCCCACCAGGTACTGTTTGTGAATCCTCAAACCGTCGCCTTCCAGTTCTTCATCCTTCAGCACTCGGTGGACGGAGGCGTCGCTGCGCGAGATGTTCAGCTCCTCGGCATGCATGGTGATGTTATAGCAATCCTCCAGCACTCGTATTCTGATCTGAACACTACCGGCAAAGGTGAAGTTGCCGCTGAGCTGCGGTTCAATCGTGATGTTGTATTTCAGCGGGCGGATGGAGTGCGGCAGACGGACATCTCGATCATATTTGGGTGCGTCATCGTGTCCAGCCTTCAGCCTCCTCAGATGATAGCTGGTGCAAACGATATCCTCATCTGAATCGGGCTCCAGTTCAGCGCATGTGGCAAAGTTGTAGACGATAAAGCCCACTGCTAGTAGGGTGCAGATAAAGAAGGAGGCCAGCAGGATGGCGGTGGTCAGGGACACACTGTAGCGACGACCCCCCTTCGAGAACGTGGTGGTAGTGGTGGGCGTAGCGGCATTCATGGGTCTGCTTTCCATGTTCAGATTCTCGTGAAGCGGTATCTCCTTAACTACCATGATGGCTGCAGTGGACGATAAAACAAAAAAAACGGAAATGATCAACAAAAACATAACATTAAAACGGAATATTAAATCGTAGCCTGAGGTAAAATCAGTTCCGAGTGCTTAAACAGGAAGCAGGATCTGGGTAGACCACTTCCACAACCACTTCCGCTGCAGCAAGTAATACGATATCCAACTGCAGGTTGCGTAGTCTGCAATCTCGGGGTTCCACTTAAGTGGTTTCTCTGGCCCTGGGCCAACCCCTTTGGCTATCTAGGGTTCCGATTAAATTGCGTAAATTGCGCATGAGCCATGTCCTTGTGGTTGAGTAGCGAAGCCACAAGAAGGGGTTTGCGAACAGAGTTTTCGAGTAGGAGACCATTTAGTTTGCTGCTCAAGGGGTCGTCGAGAACGTAACTGATTCATTAGCTCATCGTCGATGGGAAAAACAAGTGTATGGTTTTACAACGAGTAGCAAAAAATCATTGCTCACGTAATAAACAAAATGAGGCATTATCCAGCAGATAATCTTAGATGATAAAGACGATGTTATACGCTACTTGGCCAAAAACACTTGGTTCTAGCATGTTAGCGTATTGATAATATCAGAAGCTCTTGTTCTTAAAGTAAAAAGGAATATCCTGAATTGATTTCAATGGGAAATGTTTTAACTTATTGTTCAATTTACCTAGTTTTTGTGCTCATGCACACTTGCCCAAATGAAATATACCCAATATGACGTGGGGCATAATGACTGGAAAATATTAATGGCCGACTTGAATACTAGCTTTTGTGAAGCGCTCTAAAGTCACCCAGCGGGTTTTTAGTAGGGCCACATCTGGATGGATGGGAAGGGTGTTTCCCACAGCCAGTGTCATCGACTGAAATATATATTTAAATTCGTGGTATTTCCCATTCTGAAGTTGTAACTAGAGTTGGAATATGCGTGGGGTATTCCAAGTCCCAAAATGCAAAAGTAACCCACACAATTATTATGGCTCGCAGTAGTCTTATTATAACGAGAAATTAAGGCAAGGCGATAATTGATTTTTACACTTAATAACTAAAGAATTATTTTTAAATAGGAAGAGCGTTATAAATACCTGTTAATTAGTTGGGATCGTGATCTTAACAATTAGTACGATATTCGACATTCGAATTTTAGTCAATGGAAGTGGGAAGAGTTTCATTTAAAAGAATAAAGAAATATTTAGCTTTATCTATGTAAATGTAATCTGTTTAAATAGCAATAGATTTCAGATTGCTCTGGCTACTATTACTATGGCTGCTTGAAGATGTTCTTATCACGATGTCAATGGCCCAGGGGAACCATTCATGGGGCTACTTTATACTACAAGCGAGGAGTTTCTTTGCCAGCATCTGAGAACTCACATATTGTAGCTGAACCCAAATGCCTCCTCATAGAGCTGCGCTATTATCAATTGGCAAAAGTTTAAGCACAAATTGAGCGGGCAACAACATTGTCGTAAATCAACTTATATATTCATGCAAATACACCCGCCGGCTAATTGAGTTATGGCATTAATTTGATCAGCTTCTGTAGCATTTGTAGCTTCTGTAGCATCTGTGCTCCCTGCTCTTTCTCCCTTGACGAATGCTACTGATGCTGCTGCTGTTTTTGCAAATTGCTGCAATTAAACGCCGACAACCATGTACAGAAGTCAACCCCGTCGCTGGCACGATGACCTTCATTAAACTAAGGCTGCAAATGATACGCCGCCTCCATCTGCCTCCATCCGCCCACACCACCCATCCCATCCCGCCTCCATGGGGTCCGTATCCCTGGGTCGCTCTCGCTCGTCGGGGATCCAATTTATAGCAATATTTCATTGATAAACTGCTTGTAAGCCGCTGGCGATGTGTCAGCATATGGCGATAGATAGCGCTAGTATACTTCGATTCACGCATTATTTGCTGGAAATCTTTAAAATGCTTAACTGCCTAGATATTTAGATCTGTCATTTGCAACTTTGCTTTCAGTTAACCATTTCATTGTGATTAGTCGAATCAATTTGAAGGACTAGAGTGCGCGATTTTCTCTCAGTGCAGCCAGTTAATAAACACAAGGACATGAACGCCTGCGAGTGGGAAAGCGAATATTGACAAATCATTGGGGAAGTGATGGGGCGGAGGAAATCAAGAGACAGCGGAGACATGTAAATATTGGCTCTTCACACGCCCACGATTAAGACATTAAATTTAAATCGCGCGGCTTTTGCTCGCCCACCAAAACAAAACCAAAAAAAAAAAATACACAAGAAAACAAGAGAGCGCCAATTTATTGACCGTTGAGTGATGAACCACGCGTGTGTAAGTTCTGTGGGGAGGAATGAGGAGCTGGGGGGGTCGGAAAAATGGAATAACCGATCGGTGGGCAAGCGGATAATTTGCACGGGTGTTCTAATTGAATTTTGGGGCACTACAGATGATTTCTACAAATTTGGATAGTAAATAAGCAGATCACCATAAATTGGCAATCATAAGCGAAGGAAAGTTTCTGGGCGTTAAATTTATGGTTCCTGCGTGAGCGTCTTATAATATCGAGCAGTTCAGGCTGGAAAGTGTTTGTTTTCTTTTTTTTATTAATTGCTACCAGATGTCAGGGAAACTTGAAAAGCGTTTGCCAAATAAACAAATCGGGAGGGTGCAGATATAAAAACAAAAGTAAACGAAGTGTTGATTAGTCAATTACAGCAGCCGGTAACCACAGAAAGAAAAATAAAAGCACATGTAAAATGTTGTAATAAATTTCTTATAGCTTCTTCAGAACAAACCAAGAATTACCATTAAATCGTTTAATGTACTTATATTATTAGTCTAATAGTTGTGCAAAATGAACGCCTTGTCACTGCATTTTTCTCAGTGCACACACTCACGCAGCATTCAAAACGTGGGAATAATTTAATTTACCGTTTCACCTCCGTCCTGGAAAACCGTTTGTCGGACTCTTTCGCACCTTTACCGTTACGCTGGCGCGACACCAATGCGACTAGTGGTCACCCACACAATCGCACACGCACACACAGTTGGGCCTGGCAGACGTCTAATTAATTGAATTAAATGTAAACAAATCACTTGTACTAAGGCCGAGCTGCCAAACTAATCAAAATGCAATTTGCCAAGGGACTATCACTAAACGCAGCACAGCTCTATCGCGTATTTTCCCGACGAGCGCGGGCACAACCGTTAAGGCTAACGGTTGAGAACTGAATAAGCGGAATAAACAAGCTGCGATGGAAATGGAATGGAAGCAGAATGAGCGAGATGGCGATCGCGATGCGCGAAATTTACACTTTGGCTGCGTGAGAGCGAAATAAACTGTGCGCTGTAAAAGTGGTATACTTACGTTTAAAATTGAATTTAAGCATTTTGCTTAAATAAATATTGTTTAGAACTATTTCACTACGATTTTTACTTATTTACTGCACTCCTAGTAGCTAAAGTAACGGTTATTGCCGGCGTTTCGAGCTTCCCGGCTGGCATTAAACTGAAAGGCGTTTAAGATGCGCGGGGTGAATGACAAAAGCGAAGAAGAAGCACATCCTGAAACAGCTGAGAATTAACTATTTACGAAAAATGCATTTAAATACAGTTTATATTACCGTGGGCACCACCAAATTCGATGCTCTAATATCAACTGTATCTTCGGAACCCGCTCTAAAAGCTCTCCAGAGCCGTAAATGCACGCAACTCGTCATACAGCACGGAAATTCGCAACCATTGACAGAGGAGGAAATACAATTGATAAGAAAGAACTACGGAATCCAGACAGAGCAGTACAAATTCCGACCAAATGCAGAGGACATTAAGTCCGCAGACCTTATTATTGGACATGCGGGGGCCGGAACTTGCATGGATATACTAAATAACCAGAAACCTGGACTCATTGTGATTAATGACACACTCATGGACAATCACCAACTGGAGTTGGCGAAACAACTGGCCGCTGAAAACTATTTGTATTACTGCAAAATTACAGACTTGGATGCCCAGCTAGCTACATTGGACTTTGAAGCCCTAAAGGCCTATGAAACCAAACCGGAAAATCTCAGCAAATTCGTTTCCGCCATCAATCAACTGATGTCCCATTGAAAACCAACAAACATTCCAAGAAAAGGAAAGCTTCTTTTGGTGCCAACCCCAAGGGGGTTAACTTTTGCTATTTTGCATATATTTGAGTTTACAAGTATAGTTAATAAACACGAGAACGTCTACGAAGAACATTGAATATTGTTAGCAATCTAACGCTTGTTGGGGCTATACGATATAGATAAATTCACAATTAAACATTAAACGTACAATGTGTGTTACTGTAACTGGTAAATTCCACTTATTTGGATAGTTAATTTCATATAACGCAATGAGACTCTCAACGTGCTTTGGTTGTTGCTCTGACCGATCCCGCTTCATTTACTCCTCGGCGGCGGCAGCTCCATTTTCTATGATGGCATCAAACGAGAAGGGTTGGAAGGCATATCCCTGGCCCTTGTAGAACTTGCTCTGGAACTCGACCCTATAAGAAAAGCGTTCATTAGATACCATTTCATATTTCGCAGGGATTTTGTGATTTACCAATGGAGACGCAGAGTGTGCAGGAAGGCAGACAAGCCCTCCATGAGTACCAGAATGCCAACGGTTAGAATGGCCCAGAAAGCAAACACGCAGGTCAAAACAATGCCACCCACAGGTCCTTCCTGCTTCAAGCCAATCGAGAGGACCATGGTCCACAGAACCTCAGCCAGCTCTGTCAGGTAAGAATGCTTCGCTTTAGTAATTATTTCGGTTTGTACTCCATCGATTACTTACGGGCATGAGCCAAGGAAAGCGCCCACAATCGAAGATAGGAAGCGGTGTGGGAAACCGAACCCAGAACGTACTCGATGGTGTGGATGCTCTGGTGAATGAAGATCTCAGAGAGCTCTTCTTCCTCCTCATGGCCACCGACACCACCGTGGGATCCGCCATTGGACACACCGCCGGCTTCTGCATCTGAAGTGGCTCCGGCAATGGGCTGTACCTGCAAGCAATGGGGATTATAAACTGCGTTGAAGAGGAACAACTAGGGGAACTAAAGTCGAACTTCTCTAAAGAAAATGACAGAGAAAACATAACATTTAGATTTATTTATGAATTTAGAGAAGTTCGATTAAACATCGATAATAAACAACACGACTAACCTCTTCCTACAGTTTGTGAATTGAAGTGTTTTGGTTTATTCGGTGTGGATTTGGTTTGGGGTTATAATTTTGTTAATCGGGAGCACAAGTAAAGGAAAAGCAGTTAGTATAAGGTGGAGAGTTTGGGTTGCAATGTGCTTGGATGTGTTGTGATGTAGATGGAACGCCGTTCTTTGAAAGTAATGAGGTGCATCGAACTAGCATGTACTTACGTTCGCCTGCTTGCGAGCTTGCATGATGAGCAGCGGCTTGGCCAGCAACATTACGGGAATGCAGCCGACGGCAACCAGAACGAAGAGCACCTGTATGAAGTGCTGGCCAATAAACATATAGGTCTCACAGTCCTTCGGAGGCGGTTTAGGCTTGTTAAAAAGCACCATGTCGATAAACGTGATCAGGATGGACGGCGCACAGACTTCGGAGTAGGGCTCTAAATGGGAAATCGGTGTCATTAAACAGCAGCCTAATAGAAAGTCGAAATTCAAGAAACTCACTCTTATTGGTGGCGGCGAATTTGATCCACTTAATGAACATCAGCAAAACCATATAGAAGAAAAGCAGCAATAGGAAGACCAGCTGGGGGATGAACTCGTAGAGAAGGGAGATCCTGTTTCGGAAATAGGTATGGTTGTGCCAGCTCATCACCACGCCGAAGATCATGTGGATAACACCGAAAATAATTGAAATCTTCATCTTGTAGGCGTTGTGGAAGATGATCTTATTGGCTCCAGCCACCTGCCAAATGGGGTCCATTCCGAAAGGATACGGAGCGCCCTCGTAGTCGCCATTCGGGCTCAATTGCAGGAACTTGTTCTCCATCACGGTGGACTTGTTGTACGACAAATGCCAATGGGATCCAAAGATATTCAGCGACTTGGAGAATATATCGTTGTATATAAGACCCGTGTACATGGAGAAGACGCCCATGAGGAAGATGATGTACCGTCCGCCAAAGAATATATTCCAGATCTCGTTGTCCGTCTTCTGAGCCGCCAGTCCCTTCTCCTTTCGAATCATCCAGAGACCAAAGAGCGCCATGATGGCGCCGTGGCCCAAGTCTCCAAACATCACGGCAAACAGGAAGGGGAAGGTGATGATCGTGTAGGGTGCCGGATTCATCTCCCGATAGCTGGCCACGCCATAGGCATCGATCAATGCCTGGAAGGCCTTGGTAAACTTGTTCGTTCGGTTGTATGTCGGCGGATTCTCGAACGTCTGCATCCGGTTGAGAATTGGCGGCACCGACGATCCCGATCTTTCAGTTCCGCGGCGCAAGGCCAGCTGGATGGTTTCAATGTCCAGTAGCGGCACCCAGCACTCGGCGATCAGACACTTCTGGGTCACGTCCAGATTGAAGAGATTCAGCGTATGGTAGATAGCCTTGATCTTGCGCACCTTGACGAACCAATTCTTAAGGTTCTTGGCCGCAGCGACCAGGACACGATGGCGATGATCCTGCGTCTGGCCAAGCACGGTATTCAGATCCTCTATGCGGGTCATCACACCCATGGCCATCTCTCGGCGATCGGCTGGAGCCTCGGGGCAAGGATAGAGCGTGGCCCGGAAGCCCTCGCAGATCTTCTTGACGCGCGTCTTCAGCTGGTCACCCTGGAAGAAGATGATGAACACGGACTTGTGCACCTGGTCGCCCTGGAAATGCGAGGCAAATAAGTTATTAGGTTACTGGTTCATTTAGTATTATCTCCACATTACATCAAGATGGTTTTTCATGTAGCTGGTTGATACTTACATTGGTGGGATCCTCCAGCGGCGTCTCGATCATCGCCTGGCGCAGGAAGACGTTGCCCCTGCAGGCGCGCCACAGCATCCGCTCGAAGGCCGGCAGTCGCTCCCTCAGGATGACGCCAGCCACGAAGCTAGAGAGTATTGGGAAGCAGCTATTAGTGAGAGATCTCCGCTAAGGGCTATCAAACAAAGTCATTCCGATTATTTACGACAAACAAGGAAAACTAAACTCTCAAGCACAAGTTACCAATGGACGCGAGTAGCGTTACGAGAGCGAGGATCGGGATGTATGAGGCACTGGGTGGGATCGATTGGATGGGTGACACGTTAGCACTCTAGGTGGCACTCTGATTTCTGGACGGGATGCGGGGCGGTGCTGGGAGGCAAGGCAAGACGGGGCGAGGCGAGGCGAGCGAAGCTAATGACATGTTTCTATATACAGCTGATTGACCGATCGAATACGAATACCAAATACAGATACAAATACGATTGATGAGCGCTTCGTTGGCGAATGGATACGAGTTTGACTGATTGTTTGGCCTAGTCTTGTTTTTTTATATTTTTTGGAAGGAGCAGGGTACCAACCATGGAAGATAATCCTCACGTTCATTTGATTTCTCCATGTAACTAAATTTATCAACATTATTTTTCGATTGGACATTTTTGTGTGGGGAAGAGAGGAGCATAAGAAGAGAAGGACGTTTAATTTAGTGGCTTTCATTGTGTCATTTTGGACTCGTGCACAGAAAATTATTGCTCGAAACTCCAAGGGACTCCAAGCTGGACGGTATAAATGGACATGGTTCGGTTAATTTTTCTCTTTGGCGGCGCAGCTGCATGGCATTTTGAGTTTGGTTAGTTTGGCGTTGGCGGCAGTAAGCAATAATTTTGTGTGGCATTTCGTTGGTTAAGAGCTAAAAAAGATTTGGCAGGGTAAAAGCTCCCTGGGCGGCAAGTGGGCACTAATCTGTGATACTTTCTGTGATACTATTGAAGATAGCATCTTTAGGTATGTACATATAAACAAATCGAACAAAGAGTAAATTAGAGTAACTATACATATGCCTTTGGGGATTAATAAATAAATGAACCCAATGGGTTGAGATAATTAACCAAAAGTAGACCATTTAAGATTAGAAATAAGTACACATTGCATGGATGTAATCCCTTTATGTACACACTTTTCCGCCCAAGGAATATTCCCCTGCTGACGGAACTACGTCCCACGCCCGAGTGTGCGTCGCTCCCGCTTCAGAGGCTGGTTGCTGGATACGTACCCGAGCTGTACGGGACCCATGGAGGCACCAGCGGTGCGCGCCTCGTCCGTGATCAAGGCGCGGGTCATCGACTCGGTCGTTTGGTTTACGCCGCCTTCTTGCTAGAAATTGTGAATGGTGGGCAAAGGTCATTTCGACTCGACTTACAAACGGGTTAGCTTGGTGTTAACTCTTAGAAAATGGTTAGTAGAACCGCCGCCGAAACTGGGTTGTTGGGTTTGTGGGCATGTGGGGTACTGGATTGAATTGGATTGGATTAGGTATAGTTTTGGAGACCGACACCAGAGCAAACAAGTAGACAATGTGCTTATGTTTGAAATCAATTCGATAGCCTAGCGCGTGGAAAACATGGAACACTCATCAAAGGTACATGGATGAAACATGGACGCGTAGATAACAAACAGCAAGGAGTCAAGGTGTGAGAGGAGCAGGAGAGCGAGAGCGAGTGGGTCTTGGCCTGAGTTTAGTTTCCCCCTGTGCCCGTCGTTGTCCGTGGTCCCAGGTCCGCATCAATATTTACCCAAGCTTCAAATTCTGGCCCGGCTGGCTGGCTCGGACAGCCTCCTCGCCCAGAAGCTGCGCCTGCTCGTCCTCGTTTTGGTTGTCGGCCATCTGCGGATAGCGCCGATATTTGCTGGATGAGTATGCGCCACTCGACTTGTACACCGTGGGCACCGACTTTTGGCCACACAACCGGCAGTGGGCAGGTCATTGGTGGTGTTTTGTTTTGGTGGATGTACGTGTTGTGTGCGGTTTTGTTTTGCGGTTTATTGATTTTTGGTCGGGGAGGTGTTGGTTGATTGATTGATTGTGAATTGATTGATATGGAAAAACAAAACGTAAAACGCATAATAAAGTAACCGAAAAAGTCAAATAATTAATAATAAACAATAGGGCTGTACAGACATCTAGATATATACTATATAAACAAAGTGTTGGGGAAAACAAAGCTTTTGAAAGGGTTTACGTGGATGTGTTCTTCAAAGGCAACCAAAAAGAAAGGGGGTTTCTAAGCCCTTAATTTTAATGCATTTCAGAATCTACTGAATACCAAACCTTTCCTCTGATTGCCCAGGAACACGTCCGGAGGAAACAATAACCATCAACTGATATCAAACGCACATTACGGAATATGTACAAACTCAAACTGAAGGGTAAGAAAGCACACACGTTTGCCTTTGGAAGCGGAGAAGGAGGATTTACGTGCCGAGAGGGGAAATCATTTAAGAGTGTAGTTTGGTTATAGATTGCTTATGTGACTAGAAGTCGTGGCTGCCACACTTGTGTTGTCGGTTGGGAAATTGGTTATTGCTTAGAAAAGTTGGTTAGTTACCGGCCGCTTCAATGGCCGGCATATGTTAATGGTGAATCGGTTACCGATCGCAGTCCGTTAGCTGATACCCATATGTAGTTGCTCATGCCGCAGCTTACCTCATCGAAGAACACCTGGGTTTTGCGCAGAATGTGCTTCAGCTCGGTCAGCTCCAGAAAGTTGCGCTTCAGGGCCTCGGCGTTTTGATTCACCTCCCTCAACTCGTTCTCCAGTTTCTCGAAGGTGGCCTAAGCGGCAGACAAGAAAGCCATATAAGTTCAAATGTGGTTAGCAGAAAACAGGGAGCATGGTATAGTATACCTCCAGGTCGATCATCTCACGGGGCTGCGGGGCCTCGGGGCTCTCGCCGGTGTCCAGCATGGGGATGCCGTCCTTCTTGATCTCCTTCTCCAGGTAACGCAGCTTGCGCTCCATTTCATCGCAGCGGCGCACCTCGTTGACGAACTTCCTCTGGAAGGCGTTCACATCGGGATTGAGCTGCGGATTTCGAAAGAGTGGTTCATTACTGGGCGATCTTAATAAATAGTTAATTTGTGCGATCAAGCTATATAGCACTGAACTTATGCCATTGAATTTTCTAATTTCATTTCGGTTAGGTGTTTAAAGTAAAAACTAACACGTAGTTATACTATACATTAAGTGGATGGTGTCATAAGCTTCACATTTACATTGCATTCAAGTCAGCGGGGACGTTTCATGGAATACACAATTCACTAATGAGGTATGCGGTATGGGTTATGATTGTGGCTTATGGTTAGTCAGCGCGATTGCCTCGACGCAAGCTTTATGTAATCCATTCTACTCACATCTCGGAACTGGACCAGTCCCAGTTCGCCCAACTCGGAGACGCAGGCGTAGGCCGCCTCGCTCTGCAGGAACAGCTGGCACAGCGCCATTTCCTCGCTGCGGAACAGGGAACCCATTGTGGCAGACGGATTCCCGATATCTGTGAATGGAGAACAGTCACTGAATCAGTATATATGAATATACATATAGACATTTAGACATATTCATGATGAATGGCCAAACTGGGTTTCTTTAGAAGATTTGTGACTGTGACGAATATGTACATATTTTCACGCTGCTTTGATTATCGTTTCGGGGGCGGATGTCCACTTGTCACCGCCGCGGTATCTGTAATCTATACTATATATGCGCCGAGATGCGATTTCTATACCCCATGCGTATATTGATTTTTCTCTGCTGCAGACAAAAAGAAAGTGCTACGTTGGACCCAGATGCGAAGTTTTTCGGCTCTTTGTGAGTCACCAAGGCACTGGGTATTCGCTTTATTCGAAAACTATCTAGTTTGTCAGGGGTCACTTCGAAATGAAAGTTGATTGTTTAATTACCAAGAGTCTAAAAATTAAATATAAATTCGTCCACAAAATTCCAGCAACCGACAAATTTCCGAACTATGAAGTGTGACCGTAGCAGGTCATTAGATTTATACTAAATCGGTATGAGCTAATTGGAAAATAATATTGTACTTCAAAAATGTCAAGGCAAAAATATAGGAAAATGTACACAACAAATGATATTCATAATAACGTTTCCTAAGAAAATTAGATAGATTTATCGCCTATACATAACATATTTCATGAATATAAACAGGCAGTGGGAACGGCTTCATTCATTTTTAAGATGCTCCTGCCCCCTGGTAACACTGCGCAGCAACAAAAACAAATAACTTCAAACTAAACCGCCATATTTTACTTAATTTCTGTGCTAGAATATGGATCGGACAACAATCGCGCCGTGGAAAGCCGAAGAAAAGGAGCAGAGCGAGAAGCTGCACAGAAAGCTACAGGGACTGGCCCTGGTGCACCCCATGTCGGACGAGCTGCGGAAGCTGATTGCCTGGGACATGTTCCTCAAGCCCAACCAGGTGGCCTTTGTGCATGTGATGCACTACCTCTTCCGCCTGCTGGATCCCGCGGAGTTCAAGCGACGCTTCTTCTGGCCCATCACGGACAAGAAATCGGAGGCGAACTTTCGCTCCACCACGGTGGAGTATTTGAAGCATTTGAACGAGAAGCACCAGCTGCATTGGGCCAACATCAAGTCATATCTGGTGGTCATGCCCGGAGGCATGAGGTTTATCAACTTCCTGCTGGAGTTCGTGGGCTTCGTGATCCAGGAGCAAATTAAGCAGCGCGAGAAGTCCCTCGGCTTGGAGACGGGAACCCAAAACGTGAGCGCCAAGGTCATGGCTCGTCAAAATGCCGTGATGAAGGAGTACGCCTCGTCGTATGTTGTCAATCTTGAGGAGAATACATGCCTGTTGCGCGAAAAGACCCAGAAGATCCGACGCCTGATGGCCGATTTGTCTGCAGACATGGGAGTGCCCGAGGAGCAACTGGCAGACGATGGCTTTCTGGATGAGTTCGAGGCTAACGCTGCACTCGGCGTCGAGCAGATCATTATCCAACCCACCGAAAGCAAATTTGACCTCGAGGCATCGCTGTGTGGCCTCAAGGAGGCCATCGATCTTTTCCAGGTGAAGCAAGCCGAGAACAACCAGACCAAGGAGGCGGTAGAGAAGGCACTGCGGGGCATGCGAGTGCTGTTCGACTGTGATGCAGCCACAGAAGGTGATAATCCTTGTTAACATCCCTGTAGGACTTTAAATGTAATTGGGTTTCAATTCCTTCTCAGACTTTTACGATCCCTTGGGTGCATCTAAGACGGATGCCCTCTTGAACGGCTTCAATCGAATCAGCGGCACGATTGCCGAGCAACTGGATGCCAATGACCACTACAACGAATCAAATGCGTTTGTCACCACCGATTTGCAGGCTCTTCGAGTGGAACTTACACAGTCCGAAGTCCAACTGAACAATTTACTAAAAAAACTAAACGAACCGTCCAAAAAGGAGAAGGAAAGTGTCACTACAATTGCCACTGCAAGTGCCTCCGCCAAGGGACAAACGCTTGCGCCAGCCACACCTCGCTTCGAATCAGTTATCAGCTCCAAATTTGTTTCCACGCCTCCCATCAGGATCGACATGGGCGGCGGTGGTGGTCGCAATGCCCCAGTACGTCTTGCACTCCAGGATGATTTCAATGGCAAACAGTTCGATGCCTTAAGCAATAGTTTACTCGGTAAGGAGTGATCCCCCTACGTATTGTAACCCCAATCCTAATCTGTTTTCACTATCAGCACCTGCGCCGCCTCGATCAGCACGAAAGCTGAAAGTCCTTGATCAGTCGACCGGCCTTGATCTTAATGGGACAATGAATCGATCCAAGATCAACGATCCCATGCAAATGCTGCGCACCATTCACAAGAACACCTCCAAGGCTCAGACAGCTCCGCAGGCAAATCTCTCCGCCCTGGGCAGCAAGTGGAAGCAAATGCAAGCCTCCTTCGGTTTCGATGAGGCACCAGTGCCAGGAGCAGCGGTGATCTCCCCTCAGACCTCACCAACTGAACCCAGCGACCCCTTTACACCCCTGACTGGTACCGAGTGCACCCGAATCGAGCGCCTTCCGCGCACATCGGAAAATAACAGCTCACTGGTCGCCAAGAGCGCTGCGGTTATAAAGGTTCTGGAGGTATCTCGGAATGTTTTGAACCTCAGCACCTCGCCATCTGGACGCCTGGATGCACTGGTACCACACACCGAGAGTCAACAGCAAGACACGCCACGCCTTCAGCTCAACGACAGAACAATCAATGTAATGCAATCAATAATTTTCTTAGGTTCTGTCTTAAAATATTTGAATATATTTCTAGTTAATAAGCCAAACATGAAATACGAGTCTCAAGTTAAATTTTTTTTACAGGACTCACTACCGGTGGATCCCGATTTCAACATTGAAAACGACCAGAATGCGTTCAATGTCTCGCATAAGTTCGATTTTGATCAGATTGGAGGGGATGATGACCTGCAGAACATCAGCGATAGTGTGCTCAAGGATATAATCTTTTAAGCCAAGGGAATCTCAAATGACCATAACTGTTGAACCAAAAGATTGTGTATTTATTTTCCAATGATTTGAGCTTTGTGAATGCGATATACTTTATAATTGAAATAATGTTACCTACATGAAATTGAAACTAAAATATTCCAGATGGTAAGCAATGTTCTTCTTTGAAATACATAAATACTAAAAGTACAATAGGCTTTTTTAGAAATTCGAGTTTCAATATTTAGGTGCCCATTCCAATGCAGAGATTTATTTAATTAAACAACCATTGAGGCAGTATTAAGGTTTATTATATATACTTTTAAAAGTCAAGTCTTATAACTATTGTTCTTCATAACGGCTTTTCCGGTCTTTAACATCCCTGCAAAATCAGACTTTCTGAAATGAGTAGTTTGAGCGTTCTAGGTGAATTAATGTAAAATAAATAATTTGAATAAATATAATGGGTTTATATTGCTGAATGGGATGGAAAAAATAAAATAAAATAAGAACAAATCAGAAAAATTAATTAATTTTTATTAAATTCGAATATAATAATTGAACTGATATATGTACGTTTATCGTCAGCCTAAGCTGCATGAATGTGAGATATGTAATTTTGGGTCTCTGCATACAAATTATTGTATGGTACTGCTTTTGGTCTTATGGTCCGCGCCTATCTCATGTCTAGCCGCACAAAAGAAGTTTACATATGGATACTGGCGTATTATATACACTAGATTAAAGATTAAGAGTATTGGCAACGGAGTGTGCATTTTATGCAAACCCTATTGCAGGCGGTTGAGCAATCGCACACAACCCCGTTCGATTTTGGGCTAGAATAAATATATATGTATATGCTTTAGCTTTGGCCTTGCCGTTTCGCCCCTAAGTCTCCTACTTTCCGCGGCGGCAGATTGTTCTTCTTGCCAAGAATCTTCATTAGCTGCTTGGACATGAAGAACGGCTTCTCCGGCGAGCCGTCGTTCCGCTCGCAGTCCTCCAGGAAGCACAGAAACAGTGTGTCCACGGCCGTCGAGTACACACCGAAGAACACGCTCGTTATGAGGAAGGCGGCAATTACCACCAAAGTGGTGGGCACCGCGTTGTAATGTAGCTTAATAATGGCCGGATTATTGTCCAGAAAATAGAAGGTGGATGCCCCCGCGCCAGCGGTTAGCAGCAGTTTCGACAAAAAGAACAAAAAGTCCGTGACCTGATCTAGCGTTACCACACGCAGGAAGTTCCTCATAATCAGGTTGAACGAGTCCGCGGCACTGGAGCAAAAGTTCTTGCCGTGAATGGCGCACATGATGTAGGCATTCCGATTGAGGAACTTCAGGAAGTTCTCCAGCAGCCAGAAGAAGCAGCGCATGCAGCAGAGGATGGCCCGTGTCACCGCATTGTCGTACTTCTTGAGCTTCTCGTGGATGTATTCCAGCACCAGACGAATTAGCCGGACGATGGCCAGGATGAGTGAGCCGAAGGCCACGGTGCCCAGGTGGTAGAAAGCGGTTTGGAAGAAAGCTCTTGTGAGGGTGAAGTAGGGCACGTTCCTCTTCTTGAAGGTCCAATACCAGCGGGCAAAGGTCGAGGCCAGCACCATGTAGCTGAAGGCCGAGATGAAAAAGCTAAGCCAGAGGAAGCCAAAGACATTGTAGAAGATGGCCCACTTAATAATAGTCGGATTATTTATCGAGTCAAAGCTGCAAGTGGTTTTTAAGCAAGGAACCCGCTTCTGGAGAAATGAGTTCTGCCGAACGATGCAATATTGCTGGAACACTTTCGGGTCGCAGGATCCGCCCACTGTGTAGTTGATGGCTGGACCTTCGCAGACGCAGTCCTCGTTGGTCACTTCACCATTTTTCGTCAGTTGGCGCACCATTCTAAACGAAGGATCTCCAATGGAGCCCAGATACAGGCCCACGCCAACGGCAAACGCTATGGCGGCAATGAAGAGTATCCAGGAGAAGATAGGGAAGAACACGGTGCTGATCACACTGCTTACTGCCTTGCTGCCCTCTTTGGTTAGGGCGATCGCTATGCGGATGCGATTTCTTAGCACAATTACCAGCAACAGGATAACCACGAAGCACACGCTCAAGAAGATGGACAGGTAGAGCCAGGTGTTCTGGTTTTGCAGAACATTCTTGACCGTAGAGTGCAGATTCAAACCGTGTATGGGGACCGTAGCCGTCTTCTCCCAGAACCTGTACTGTTTTACGGTGTGGTAAATTCCCACCAGCAGGCCGATAAGCACGCCAAATATGGAGAACCAGAGGATTGGAGCCGAGAGCCAGCGCATTAGAGCGATATAGATCAGTGAGGCAATCAGGGTACAGCAGCAAGCCACCAGCACGATAGACCAGGAGTTGATCAGATCCTCGACAATCTCTTCTCCCAAGAGTTGGGCGTCGTTGGTGCCATTGTAGAAGTGGGCCACCATGTTACCCACGAGCTTCGCCAGCCTCGTGTCCGTCTGCATCATCTTCTCCTTGATGACAGCCTCGTTGAGTCTGCGTTTGCACTGAATGATTGGCTCCTCGTCCACTGGAGTTTGTTTGCTGTTCGCCTGGGGAACAACTAGTGCCTGGGCCTCCGCCATGCTCATAGCCATGACCTGGGCCTGCAGTTGGAGTTCCGTGGTGGCGTTTCCGGGCAGCAGATGCAGCTCTCTTCTCAATCTTTTCCCTTGCAGCAGGAACGAGGGAATATAATCGCATACGCCCTGGGAGAACTCGAACAGGCATCGTTTGAGGAATGGAGCACTCTTGATGTACCAGCGTGCACACTGGTTCTGGTCAATGGCATTCTGAATGTCCGATTTGGTGCGAATCTGCGCCCTGTGCTCCTCCGTCAGGCAGATGAGGCGACTGTGCAGCTCCGCAAAACTTAATTTATCCTTCATGGTGTCCCAGACGAACGTCTCTCTGGGACAAGTCTCCACACAAACCTGTTAAGATTCCATCCATTATAAGTAAGATGAACTCCTTGTAAGTGCGATATTAGTGGTAACTCACCTGTGGAGTGTCACATCCAGTGAGGGGTACAATTGGATCAATGCACTGGTTGATGTCGAAAAAGAATAGGTTCTCCTTGTTTAGCACCCCGGAGTCCATGCCGCACTTCCGGTTGGATGAGTCCGTGGGCACCAGCAGTTTGTTGAGATCGCCGTTCTTGATGGCGTACTGGGCGATGAAGGCCCATCCACCCAGGAAGAGCACGAAGAGCAGCAGGCAGGGCACATCCGTGCAGCTGCGATTCCTTTGCCGGGGTCCCGTGAAGTTCCGGTCGTAGCGCAGTGGCTTGCCGTACTTGTTCCTCAGCTCCAGGCTTTCCTCCATCGCTCTCTACTGAAAGTACATATATAAAACTGTTATCAATGGGTCGTCGTCTCTTGGTAATGAGACCGTCAGACCTAAATCGTGTAATTTATTTCCGTACATGCGTCACATTTTTAAAAATGGAAAACCACAAATGTAGTGGGTGGTTGTGTTGGTGGTGAAGCCAACCACCAGCGGCTCTTCTTGTTCTGGTTTATTTTATAGTTTGGATGGGAAAAGAACGCTGGCTAAACGCTGGATATGTCGGCGATAAGGTGCGGTTTGATCATATTAAGAGGCGGCCAACGATCCCTTTTCATTATTAAAAATGATTCTCCTTTTTTTGCCTATGTTTTATTATGAATAACATTATTTTTATGAGTAATAAAGATAGCTCTGAATAGATTAGCATGGCGAACATGTTTTGTGGATTAAATGAACTTTAAGAAGGGCATTTTAAGGGCTGATAAATAAATACTTGTAAGGTAAATTACTGAGTTTTGTGAACACTCATTATAACAGTAACATTTCCTGGAATATAATCGCGATGCAGACTCATTTAGTTAATCATAAAAAAAGGGAGCAAAAAAAAGTTAACTAGTTCGCTATAAGAACTTTTCTTATAACAATCGTGAACTGCAAATATTTACAATAGATAGCAGAGAAGCAGCTCGAAAGTGTCATACAAATTCGCAATAATGACGCATTAAAAGTTAAATTACATTTATGCGCGCACTTGTTGCTGCTGTTTGATTGCTTATGTGTATCGCTTTGTTTTTGTGTGTTCGGCTTCTGTCCATTTGATGTGAAAAACCCGCCGCCGCCTTTAATGGATGAATTCCCAAAAAGCACACAAGTTTTCGTTGGAAATGGAAAACCAATTTGGGTTGGCAAGGCGTTTGGGGCCACATGTTTCAAGGTCGATTGCCGTAACTCCATTTCGGTGTAGGAATTTCAGTGTCTGGGAGTAGAGTTTATCATTTCAGTAGTGCTACAGTCAACACTCGCAATAGCGAACCCTCTTTTGTTGCAAAGAAATGCATCTATCTTGATAAGAAGGTTGATAATTTTCATAATTTGTAGTGCGGAAAACTTCCAGCATCGAGTGAGTACCGTCTTCACCTTGAACTATGTACGTCACTTCAGATAAAAGAAAGCAGTCACAGTTCTTATCTTATAATGGTAGTCTCTTGTTTTCTGTTTGAACGATTTCCCCTTGTATTTTTGGAGCGACATTGCACAAGGCCCCATAATTTCCTAATGGAGTATTATTACTCACCTTTGCTTCCAGAGATGCGACAAAGGAGCTCCACTATTCTCGTCGCTTTTTCTTTCTTTCTTTATGTTCCTTTATTGTCTCATGACACTTTTTAACGAGCGGCGGGGGGCTATTTGTTCAACTCGCTTCCTCGGACGGAGTCACTACTCCGGCGAAAGTCACCGGACCACTGCAAGCGGGAAGCCTTTGTCGGAGATCCGTATCCCGTACGTTGCTCTTTGGACGTCGGTCACTTGCACTCGTTGGATAAATACATACGAGCCAAGTGGGGCTGCAAGCATAAAGCAGCATAAGTATTCATGTGCGAGTGTTGGTGTGGTGCCACTTGGGAATTGGGGATAGGGAGTTGGGAATTGGGAATTAGATTGTGAAATAGCGCGGCACACTTTTGTTAATTGCACAATCATAATCGTTTTCACCCGATAACGAGCACTGGCCATTCCCGTTATAATAACACCTTGCAGTTTCGACCGAATTCGAATTTCTGTGCATGCAACTCTTTCTGTTTCGCTTCTTTTTGTTGTGGAGCGGGCGCATGGAATTAAGCCCCTCCCCCACCAAGCCCACGTACTGCGACTCACTTCCACTTACGCTAATTAAACGGCGAGCACTTGACTTTTCACGAAGTAAACAGCTCCACAATCGAAATTATACTAAATCGCCCAGAGAAAATGTCCCCCCGACCAAATCACTGAACAGCTGTGACGAACAGTGTTGCAAAACGGCCCGTTTTGGTCAAAACAAAGCAGAAATGTGTTTGGAATGTGGCACTGCACAGGGATGCACTAAAGATAGTGTAAGTGTTGGCTGCTTTCAAGCCAGATCTGGCTACTTATTGGAAAGTTTCAAAGGTCTGTAAGTTATGAATATAGGCCTTATGTTCCTATGTTCGCATAGGCCTTACCTTATAGTTTGTAATATAATATAATCAAGCGGCAAATAGTGTAAGCCACCTATGCATATTCAATTTTCTATCAACTTGGTAGCTCGGTACTTGAACTTTCAAGATAGTTTAGTAACGATATTTTGGAATTATAATACACCCATACCAATTAAATATTGATTGCTGCAGCAAATCGCACCAAGTCTCGGCTTGTACTGCGAGCAGTGTGAACGGCTCTGTGTAATTTGCGAAAACCGCGACCAGTGCTGCGCAACGCGAGTGCGAAAGCCAAAAGCAGGGTCGGATCTACGGTGCGGGGTGGAGCGGAGAGAATGTAGCGTTGAGGATTTTAACAAGAAACAATTGAAGAATCGCGCTCCTGGCCGTGCGAAAAGAGCCTGGTCCAATCGTTTAAATGTCCCCTTTGGTAGCGTCGATTGCTTGTGTTTAGTCCCCGGTGTGCTGCCGTTAAAGACTGTGTTGTTTTCGTGCCGGCAAGCCAACCAATTTGAAACCCCCCAAAAAAGTTTCCACTTTTTCATTCCCCCAGAAAAGTGACAATTATTCGTGGCCGTGGTCGGCGGATGCAGCTGCAAAGCGGGCGGCGATTAAAGAAGTGCAATCCGGCGCAAGTCCTCGCCATTTGTTTATGTTGATAACCAGTGTTTTTGGGGCAACAACAAGAAAGTGCAGCTCAGTGTGAAATTGCCACGGTTATTAAGTGGTTGTGGTTGCTTGGTGTACGTGCAGAAAACCTAAAACAGACATCCCCAGAAGAAGAGGAAGCAGCGCGAAAGGAGGAGGAGGAGCAGCAGCAGCAGCGACGTCTCTGTTGTTTTTGTTTGGCTGCGAGGAAGAGAGAGGGAGAGAGCGGCGAAGAACACGCGGCTCTTTCGAAAAAAAGGGCGGGAAGGCCCTTTCGGCTCGAATAAACCCAATCCCACTCGATATCCGTAACTCTGCCCGCCGGAAATGTCAAGGGGGGGCGAGCACAAGCGCGTCACCCTCACCTCGATCATCCAGGGCGATGCGGGCTTCTCGCGCTTCGGCAGCAACTTCCTGGAGCCTGATGCTCCGTCCGCTGCACCCAACAACAGCTCCAAACCCACGACAAAGACTGCCAAGTGCATTCGCATCAAACTCGATCTATTCGAAACCGATTCGAACAAGTATCCCGAGTTCAACTACTCCCGGCTCTTGTACTTGGAAAAGGTGAGTATATATGTCAATTGGAAAATCCTCTTCTAAGCCCTTGTAATCCGCAGAAAAAGGCAAAAAAGCTGAAGCAGGTGACCACTACCAATGGCTCCGCAGGCACTGATCCCTTTGCCGACAACGATGACGATGTGGCACGGATTGTCAAGGAGCTGGAGGCCAAGTACGGCAACTCCTATGCCACAGGCAGGGGGAAGAGCAAAAAGGACGAATACCGGGACATTGGAATGGGTTACGATGAGTCGGACTCATTCATCGACAACACGGAAGCCGTAAGAACAAGAATGTATAATTTTTAAGAACCCAATTTACCTTGAACTATAATCCCTCTCCAGTACGACGAAATCATTCCGGAGGAGGCGGAAACCATGGAGGGCGGCTTTTACATCAACTGTGGCGCACTGGAGTTCAAGAACCTTACCAAGAAGTCCTACACCACGCGCACAGATGCCATCATCAAAATGCCAGAGCGATCACGCAAGCGCATGGTCTCGTCCAGCTCGGAAAGCTCATCGTCATCGTCCGACGATGATGACGAAAACGATGATGGCAACAATGAAGAGGATGACGAGAGCGATTCCGAGGACGACTCGGAGGAGAACGATGAAAGCGATTCCGAAGACGACTCCGAGAGTGAAAGTCTCGAGGACGAGGACTCTGCTGCCACAGCCAAATCCAGCAGCAAGTACAAAGACAATCATCAAGCTAAGCGGGCCAAGGTCATCGTTACGGGCAAGTCCAAACCAAGCTCAACTTCTTCGACGAGTGGCAAGAAGCCGCCGACTAAGCCGATCACCACTTCCTCATCCTCAAACTCGCCGCGACCCAGCACGGTGGAGATTTCAGACACGGAAGACGGGCAGATCCCGGTCCAGATTCAGCCATCAAGCCAGCTTCAGGCCCTGCCCCAGAGTCAGGCCCAGGCACAAGCTTTAAAGAAGGTGGTTAAGACCACAACGGTCAAGGACATGCTAAAGGCCAAGCGAGACAGCTTCCTCAAGTCGCAGAGCGGCACGGCAGCTGTCAAGGGCGTCAACGGCGAGCTGAAGTGTGTTTCCACCGACGTGTCCGACAGCGACAGCAGCGATATGGAGTCCGAGCAAGGCCGGGCAGATAGGCAGTCCGGTCACCAAGGCAAGGATGGGCAGGAAAGTGAGTAACAAATGTGGAGAACTAATGAAAGTTTCTTCGCTTATATGCATAATAACTTTTTCCGTCTGTTTATTTTCAAGATCTTCGTACCGCCGACACTCTGCTGCCCACCACATTGGATGCGGACATTTTGACCGTAGTCAACAGCTTCAAAGAAGCGGTAAAAAGCCGAGACATGTGCGGCAAGAAGTTTAATCTAGATGCCAAGCTTTCGCCACTTTTGCTTCGGTGAGTTTGCAGCTAAAGTATACACTCAGTACAGAATAAAGGCTCATATCCATCAATCTACATTAGGGTGTACGAGGCGGTGCTGTGCACGGACCGCAACGAGCGCAACATGGTTTTTTCCCACATCGAGTACCAGCTGCAACTGCCCAAGTACTACATGCTGCGCAAGGGGAAACAAGTGCGGGCGAAGGAGGAGAAGAGGAAGTCCACCATCATGTTGGAGAAGCTGCGGCGGGCTGTAGCTGTGGTCATGCCTAAGGCGATAGCCAACTACGAAACGGAACTGCGCACATTTGCTGAACAGGCGTAAGATTATTGGGCCAACGAATTATTAGGTTCCTTTACATTAGGCATTTTATTTTCAGAGCGGCGGACGTAAACTCGGAGCTGCCGCCCAAAATGCCGCGCAAGAAGTTCCAGTGGGCCAGCGAGTTACGCCATCTGCTGTACGATGTGTACCAAGCGCGCTGGACGTCCTACGCGTTTCTGGCCAAGCGCAAAGACACTTTGGAGGAGTTCATTAATTGGTATCTGAAGGAAAAGGTGGTGGAACTGTGGCCGCCAGGCTGGATGCGTTTGGATGAGTTACAAAGGGAAATAACCCGCTACAAGAACGCCAAGCTGAAAGCAAAGGAAAAGCCAAAGGCACCGCCGGCGTCCCCATCACCTAAGCCCGTTGGAGTTGTGTCTGCTCCTGAGCAAATTCCGCCGGCAAGCAGCTACCTAAAGCCAGTGGAGGACCCTCGATCTCGAGGAAACTCTGACACGGACTCAGCTACAAGTGCCTCCTCTAACAGTCTGAAGCGAAAGCTGAAGGAGATGCCCAAGCAGACCAGCAAGCCGCCGAAGAAAAAGGTGGCCAAGCAGCTACCGGTGCAACCTCAACTTAATCCGCATCCGCAATTCCAGCTGGCGCCGGCAGCCACGGCGGCCGTCAGTATGCCAGCCATTAGCAATAACAACAACCACCTGCCCCACCTGGACACGCTGCTCTCCATGCCGAGCACCTCGGCCCAGGCAGCAGCCCTCAATGCCGCTGCCGTAGCAGCCGCCAGTACGGTTCTGGACCTGGCATCCCCCAGCCGGAAAATTGACCTTAACAGCAGCAGCAACTTCTACAATCTGATCACGGCTGCCACCCTGGCAGCCAGCGGGAATCCCAGTCCGCATTCTAGCGATGGCCAAGCCAAGGTGATTGTGGGTGCTCGGCCCTCCCCCCATGTGATCAACCTGGATGACTATCAATGCACCAGCGATATACTTCAGACGTCCAAGCAGCTGGCTGCCACCACCACGGTCATCACCTCCACCTCGAAGGCTGATCAAACCACGTCGGTGGCCAGGGAAAGCAGCAGCGAGTCGGATGGCGTGGAGATTGTGGGAGTTTTTCCTGCCTCTAAGCCCCAAAAGAAAGTCCAACCAAAACCTAAGAACAAGACTCAGAACAGAGGAAGGTCCTTGGGTGCCGTGGGGCAGGTCAATGGATCCCTGGGTTATAGCGCAAATAACATGTACATTTACAACAACCCCAGAACCCTGGGTCCAGTGTACGATCTCACCGATCCGCATATAATGAAAACAATGTCAAATCTGAAGGAGATAGAAAAGCAGTTCATTCAAGCGGCCTTCTCGCCGAACAGCGTCAAGGGTGCAAGCGGAGGAATGGGATCCTCCGCGCCCAGTACGCCTTCGCGCCAATGACATTCGGGATCGGTCGCACAGCAGCCCCTACCGGCTGCAGTGACGGCCTTTTACAATCAGGAGGCAATGGCCGCCGCCATCGTGCTCTCCACGATGAGCCACGCATCGCCGCGCTACGACCTGCTGGCCAACGGCTCCGTCTCCATGTCAGCCGCTCAGGTGGGAGCCTCTGCCAACACACTGCCACAAGTATTTGTTAAACCCAGCCTGCCGCAACCCAGCGCTGCCGGCGAAGTGGTGACCACGACTGGAGCTGCTCACTCGGCCACGCAACAACTGCCCACAAAGTTCATTTAGCTAGGGTCACTCAGCTCGTTCCCTTGCGATTCTAATCTAAGATTCTAGTGCTGATTCTAGGTAGGTTTCATTCGCAGCTGTGTCTGCCGATTTTCCAATTATTGCACCAGTTTAATTATTGTTTCTCATTGAGTCGTTTACCTTCTAAGTCAGTGTACTTTGCAAGCATTAATAAAGCAAATTTATATATATTTATTTATAGAGAACCATTTTTATTAAATAAAGACGAATAAG